CCTCGTATATTCAGGTGAGCTGTCCTTCCACTGTCCACTTCTCTTGTGGGTGAATATGGGATGTTGGATTTTGGAAGTGGGGAGAAATCCACCAGTTTCAGCAGTACTGGTCAGACCTTGTCCCAACAGCCCGGGGAGGTTATGCTTTGCCTGGGCGGTGCCACCTACAGGGTGTCCTGGTGGCTGCTGCTGTGCATGGGATTGCTGTGCAGCCCCATTTCCCAGTGGGATTCCCCATGGGGTGTCCCCCAGGGGCTGCGGCAGGGAGAAATGGGGTGAGAGACAGGCCGAGACAGCTGAAGAGCCGAGCTGTGGCCAGACCTCACAAGGCTCCTCTCTCTGATTTAAGGACAGGCTGCCCTATGAACACTGATCTGGGTCTCCTGGGAGCAAACTCAGAGAATCCTGCTGATTGCTCTGGACATGAGATTCTGATGGGAATACCTGGCCAATGCAACATTTATTAACGCACCCATCTCAGGTGTTATTCACCCCTGAACCTGTACGAGCCAATGTCACTTCACAATTCCCTCTTTGCAGACAAATCCTAAACCTGTATGGATCCAGGGTTGCCCTTACCATTCCTGGAGCTCTCCACTTCCTGCTTTTCCTGTTGCTTTCTGCAGCCAGCTTCACAAAACCCAAACAGGAATAATGGGTAAAATAAATATTTCCAGCTGAGGATTCTGCTTCCAGGTTCAGTAGTAAATGGTAATTATTAGTCAATATGCACAAACTACTTCATTTCCTTAGCACATCAGGCCACACTGGAGGTAAAGCATAACTTGGGAAATGGGTTGCATATCTCGTTCTGAGCACAAGATGCCAAGGAAAACACTGGAGCACACAAACCATAACATCTGGGTTATCCTTTACCAGCAGAGAATCTCTAGCAGGTTTGACTAGACACCAGAGCACCTCTGGTGCAGGGCAGAGTTCTCGTACCTTGGGATTTCTTCCTGTAACTTTTAGAGGAATTTTCCCCAAGTCCTCGTGTTCCTCCCCTATGAAAGTGCATCTTTACCTGCAAGAGAATCCAGGTGTCCAATACTCAAGCTTAGGGTCAAAAAGAAATTTTGGGCTTTATTATCCTCCTTTTTTTTTTTTTTTTTTTTTTTTTTTTTTTTTTTTGGTTTTTTTTACCTTTTTTCACCACTTTATTTTTTCAAATTCAACCACTGCTTAAGTATATAATTTGAATATTTTATTATCATTAATGCAGTAACTTCACACTGAGTGTGCACTTGTAGCCAACAGGCTCAGAGAGAGTAATTCTTGGTGATGGTGCCACGAAGGTGTGGCTCCGTTGGGCGACGATGATGAGCAGCATGTGAGGAACAAGATCCCCAAAAACTGTCCCCACACCAGCGCTTCTGGCTTGTGGCTTGAACTGCTCCATGGGGATCTCTTGCCCTGGGAGAGTCCCAACTTTCCTGGGAGCTTTGCCCTGACCAAGGGGCCCACCCCAGAGCTGCTGTGTGGTCTGTGGGTCATCAGCCTCTGGCAGATCCCAGGAACACTGGGGAAATAGCCATAAACCCTATTTAAATAGGGAGCTGGTGGGAGGGAGAAGGGAACATTTATTACAATTTAATCCTGCTCAGGTTTTCTACACCATATGTCTGAGCAGCAGAACATGTGAAATGTGTACTAATTACTCTGCCTGTGTCATGTGTGTATATTTTATATGCAGTCCCTGACCTTTTTGTTAATAACTTCACATTATATTCATTGACCTGAAACAAATTGAATTCAGTGGCACTCACTCCAGAATTGAATTACATAGTCTTCTTAATTGGTCTCTTATTTAAATGTGGAAAAGTAACAGTTTACCACCTGTAATTATTCTTTTCCTTAAGAAATTCCTGTGGAGAACGTGTGTGTGCATGTCCGTGGCACACGTGCTGGGCTCCTGTCTGGGAGGAATTCCCACAGGAGCTCCAAGCCCAACTGGCACCGTGGGGCAGGGAAAAAACCCTTAAGAGTTCTGTCCATTTGAAGCAAAACCGCCTGTAATAGTGTGTGAAAGCCCCGGAAGCATCTCCTCTGCTGGGGGAAAGGGCAGCCCTGGGCCAGAAGTCCTGCTCAGCCCCGGCCCCCACAAGTCAACATTCCCTTGCTGTGCCAGATGCCACCCCAGGACACAGAGAGCACAGAGAGGGGACATGGGAGCTCTGGGAATGCTGACCCACCGTGGGAGAAAGCCCGGCTGGCTGGAACCTCCGCTCAGCTTTCATCCTTCTGAGGCTGAGTTAATTGCCCAAGGCTCATAGAGGAGACTTACTCTTTACTTACTATATTTAACTTAAAAATGCAAATGTTATTAGTGTCCCGATCAGTCATAAGAGTGTCTTTGTGCCAGGCTTTAACCTCCATTAGGGGGGATTAGGAGAACGTATCCACATTGGCATTTTCCAAGTGTCACTGTGACAGCACTTGCTGCACAAATGCCTGGCTGTCACACTGAGGTTTATCACCAGGTTTTTTCCTGCGAATGCAGACTAATAAGCCCAGAAATTACAATTGCCTCCCTGCCGAATCTGTGATAGGCGGAAATAATGATATCAGTGCCCTGCTAATCTCCTGCCTCCGCGCTTGGCACCAGCCTATTGAGTCACCTGTCATACGCCGCTTTGATGAGGCGAATTCAATCTCTCAGCTATAATGACAATGGAGCCATTTTAATGTTTGGAAATGATTATGTGAAGGTTTCTCTTTGCTCTGTCTTGGCAAGCAAACCAGGTCAGCGTTCCGGCTGTGTCTCCTGCTGCTGCTAACGACTTGGAAGGAGCTGGCCTGTATTAAGTGAATATGCCAAGTTATTAGAAAGGAGATGCTGAAGGCTGTTGGAGGGGGGAGACTCTTTTTATTTTCTTTTTCACAGTGAGCGTGAGCCTGAGAAGATGCTTCACACATGTGAGCATCTCCCATGCACCCATGGTGCCTAGTGGGCCACAAGAGCCCCATGCACTGCATGCTGGCAGCCACAGGCTCCTCGCCTCAAAATCCACCTGGGAATGGCTGGCTTTGCACAACAGGCTCCATGGAGCCGGCTTGGCAAACACACCAAGCTCCCAAACTTGTTCCAAGCCCTCCAGCCTGTTGGTGTGTTGGGAAGGAGGCTGCTGGAGGGCTGCACCCAGGGTCTGGCTGGGCAGCTGTGGAGAGAATCTACGGTGCTGGATCCACGCCTGCCTGGGTGTCCATGTCAATTCACTCTGTAGTAGAGACACTGAATTTCTCCTTCTCTCATGTGTTTCTGTGTGTGAAACTAGGTCACACTTCACCTTTGAACAGGAGCTGAAACACTTGGTTTGTGTATTTGAATATAAAAGGAAAATGACTATGTTTCCTCAAGTGGCCAGAGGTCCCAAATGCCTGGAGGAAAGCATCTTCAGCTGGATGATAGTTTAAGTCACCTTGGAGAAGTGCAGGGTCTGTCAGAGCCTGCTGTGGGAAATCCATAGGTTGGGTACAACCTGGGGACTGTTGGTGCTGCCCAGTCTTCTAGCTGGATGACCTATCCCTGGCATCTCTCTGCCAGTATCCTGTGGGTGTGGGTGATGCAGCCATGGCCCAGTCCTGCAGAGAGGCCGACACATCCCAGCAGGAAGCGACGCTTCCCACATTGTTCCATCACCACCACCTTGTGGGAGTCTCTGGCAGCAAGATCTTTGCCACCTTCCCTTGGCCTTCCCTGCCAGGGGATGGGTTTTAACCAATATGACATTAATTTTCTAGGATCTTGACCAAGTCTTTGCTAGGGCAGGGGTAAAGCAGCAAAATTTCACATGTCAAGCTTTTATTAAGGTGAGCATTCAAAGCTGGCCCTGGATTGGGCCACTCTTCAGTGGGTGAAAGGCAATTGTTGGGCTGGAGAGAGGATGGAGTAGAACCCAATTGACCCACACTGTGTAGGGAGCAGTACTGAGCCCCTTTCACTGAGGGTCCTTGCAAAGAAATCTTTTTTATTAGAGCTGAGTGCTGAAATTATTTCAAGGAAGTGATTATCTGTCTAATAACAACTGTGCCTGCGTGAGCGACTGCTACAGAAACAATCAAGGCAGCGGATTTGGAGATGGGCTGAGCTGGCGTCAAAGCAGCGGTGACACAGGCAGGCACATGGGGCTGGCCCCATGTGTGTGTTTGGAGGGATGCTCTTGCTGGGAGCTTGGCTCTAGCCCTTCCGGTGGGAGTGGGATGGGTGATGGCATCGATGCTGGCATGTCCTTTGGTTTTGGCTATGTCCTCACCACCCTGGAAGAGCCCAGCTTGGGCCTGAGCGTCATCCTGGTGTCTGCCAGGCTTCTGCTTGCATGGTGGGGACCTGGGCACCACCATCCCCACATCCATCTCTCCTAATTAAGGAAGCCAATCTAATTAGGGTGGTGCCCCGCACAGCCACCCCATGGGGGCGCATCAAAGCCAGCGTGGGGCTCGTGCGCGGGCAGCGCAATTACCCAAGTTAAGAAAACATCCCTGTAATTAGCCAGGCAACTCCGAGCACAAGGAATGGAAATTAGTCACAGCGCAATAAATTAATCGGTGCATATATTACGTGCAGGGAGCACCCCGGGGGCCTCCTGTTTTCAAAGCTTTGGTTTGCAGCCCCATGCCTCTCAATAAAGCATTCATCCCTAGGTGATTATGTGCCAGCAAAAGGAGTTTTTAACTGAATTACAAATTTTCTTTTCTAATTCTTTTGTTGACAGAATTGGGATCCCTCACTTTTTTTTTTTTTTTTTTTTTTTCCCTGAAGGTCTAGGGAGCAAAGCCACTTCCCTCCCCCTTCAGCTAATAATTAATTTTCAGCTTTTCAGGGTGCTTCAAGACCCTGCATTGTTTGCTTTAATTGGGAGTGGTAGTTAAGGAACTATTTCAGAATCCCTCCCCAGTTCTGAACTATTTTAGCTGTTATTTCTTTCCTGGGCTAAGAAAAGGGGAGGGCGAAGCAGGAAATTGGACTGTAGTAGCACATAACATTTGCATCAAAATAATACAGCCGGCAACAGATAATCACAATCACATCACTCAGAAGGAAGGAACAGAATACAAATTAAAGGAATAATGTAAATTTTTTGCCATTAAGCTTCAATGACCATTTGAAATGGCACAAGGCACAAAGGTTTTGATGAGCATCATCCAGTTTGATTATTCATACTTGTGCTTCTGCTTGAATTAAAGTAGGAGTGCTAGAGCCTGTTAGAGCAAAATATTTGAATTGGTAGTGAACTCTCACCTTTACTTGCATCCATTTACTTTTCAAATGAATACCAGATAAGTTAGTGCATTTTATAATCGGCCTGTTTTCCAGTGAGTGCTGTCATTACATACCAATTTCTTTTAGAAGTGCTTCCTAAGAAACATTAAATACTTACGAATAAGGATGTGTCCATCACCGGCAGCAGCCCTCTGTGAGCAGGCCAACGCAGGCAGGTTGTGTGTCCTCCCTGCCAGGGCTGTGTGCGTGGCTTCTCTGGCCCCCTGTGGGGCTGCCAGCAGTGTCTGACCTGGGTAGGGAATTCCCTGTGGGCTACAGGCAGGGATGCAGCCCCTCTGCCCCACCAGCAGAGGTGTTGGTGTGTGGGTGCTGCAGAGCCATGTGCAGGAACATCTCTGCTGGGCTTTCCAGCAGCAGCCATGGGAGGGAAAAGCACAGCAGGAGCTCTCCCTTGATGCTCAGCCTGCAGCTTTCTCCCCTGAGCTATTGCTGCTTTATCCTGGTTCCAGCTCTCGCACACACAGATGGATTGTAGAGAGGAAAAATGAGAGGAAAGACCAGTACTGATGCGAGTTTTCAGGTGCTGCGGGTGAATAATTATGGATGCAGGGAAAAAGCAAGGAGCATTAGGGCAGGGTAGC